ACACACACACACACACACACACACACACACACACACACAGAGAGTTCGGTGTTGATGTTCAGACTCTGTCTCTGGATCAGCCTCGTCATCATTTGTACTGGACTCATGAATCAGATTTACGCTCCCTGATCATATCTGATATTCTGACCATGAATCAAAGCAACTCACGTCGAGACACGCCATGGACAGGTCAGCTCTCTCCAGGTTGGCCCCGCTCAGGTTGGCGTGCGTCAGGTTGGCTCCTCTCAGGTTGGCCATCTTGAAGTTGATGTAGCGCAGATCCAGTCGAGACAGATCTGCACCGTTAAAGTTCAGACCCTGTAGGAAACGGACACGTCGAGAGTCTGAGCTCGAGTCTGCGTCACGTGTCCAAATATTGAAAACATGCAGGTTCTCTCTGTCTGAGTTTATTTTGATGTACCTGACACCGCAGCTCTGACTTGGTGGTCGTGCCCAACAGGAATCTGATGAACTCTTTGCGGGTCAGAGGTGAGTGGTCATCAGGCGGCTGCGAGGACTGAAAACACACAGGAGTCAAACTGCTGACACGGAACATACATGTCAGTGAAATGTTCCGTGTTCACGCTCACACACCTTGATGAGAGCTTCCAGCTGCTCGGCGAGCTGCTCAATACCAAAGAAACGAGCCTCTTCCAGGACGCCTGCAGAGAACAACGCAGATTAGACGTGTCGTCCAGGATGTGTGAGAGTGTGTGTGAGTGTGTGTGTGTGTGAGTGTGTGTGTGTGAGAGTGTGTGTGTGAGAGTGAGTGTGTGTGAGTGTGTGTGTGTGAGAGTGAGTGTGTGAGAGTGTGTGTGTGAGAGTGTGTGTGGTTGTGCTGTACCCAGTGGGTTGATCCCTTCGTTGATGATGAGCTGTCCATGTCTCAGATAATTCAGGATGGGTTCAAAGTAATCCGGGCTGCGATCGATCAGGTACGCCCCCTGAGAGTCCTGCTTGTTCCCCCACACATCTGAATGAGGACGAGAGGACGAGAGGATGAGAGGACGAGGACGGACACCAAGTTAAATAACGAGCTGAATGTTCTCTGTTCAGATGAAGAGATGAAAGTTGTGCAACATCACCTTTCTCTCTGAACATGTGAGCCAACATGCTCTCAGGCTCTTTACTGACCAGCGTGCTCCTGTGGAGACACACAACCTGTTTACAAGGCGGCCATGTCTCACTGACGTCCAGCTGTTTACAGATGTTTCATACCGATGCATCATGGTCACGTGATTACAAACTGTACCTGGTGGTGGTGAAGCAGCGTCCGCCGACATTGAGCGTAAGCCAATCAGTGTGAGTCTGAGAACGTTCATCCTGAGGATCTACACACACACACACACACACACACACACACAGTATTAAAGCTGCAGTCTGAACCTCGAGGACGTTCATCTAATACCATCATGATGTTACCATGGCAACCAGGTGAAGCTCCATCGATTTTTCTCCATTCAAACAGAAAGACTACGACCCCCCCCC